GCACCAGCTGCGCTGTAACGGTGTGCTGGAAGGCATCAGGATCTGCAGAAAGGGTTTCCCCAACAGAATCCTCTACGGAGATTTCAAACAGAGGTTTGGATGTTAGCAACATACACAAATACCAATGAAAAGAGTCTTGTGAGACTTGTTATGCAATCAAAATTTCATTACTGACATGAGTAAAATTGTATAAATTCTATTTGTTTCAAAGATATCGTATTTTGAACCCTAATGCCATTCCTGAGGGACAGTTCATTGATAACAAGAAGGCTGCAGAGAAACTGTTGGGTTCTCTTACTATTGACCACAGCCAGTACAGACTGGGGCACACCAAGGTCAGTATGTTCAATGCTGATTAAGAGTAAATGCATTTTGCATAACAGATATGTTATTGCTCAATATCTATCTAGATAGAGCAATAATACTGTATTTATTAAAATTTCATTTCCGAATTTTTTATATCTATAAAGTGTTGGCCAAAGCTTTTACTGTCAGTAATCAGTTCAAATATTTTCATGTTGAATCTTCCTCTCTGAAAAAGGTGTTCTTCAAAGCTGGACTGCTGGGTCAGCTGGAGGAGATGCGCGATGACCGACTATCACTGATCATCACTGGTATTCAGTCCCGCTCAAGAGGCCTTCTTGCAAGAATTGAATTCCAGAAGATTGTTGAACGCAGGTAACTGCTCACAGATTGGCCACACTTGGTCAGTCAAGTTTAAAGATCACAAATCATTATCTCGGTGATTATACAATCTACACAGCATATCTTGCTTTCCTTCCCAACAATTCTGATATGGTAAAGCTCCACCAAGAACACTTAGCAACCTTAAAAAAGGGAAACCAAATCCCCCACCAAAACACATTATCTTCATTTACAAATCTTTTCCATCGAACAAACTCAAACCAAGCTGCCATTGCAATAGACATCAAAAAAGGACAGCACTGTCAAAGGCACAGATTTATTGATGTAGAGACTACACTTTGTCAGGTTAGCACTGGGTTTTCCTCGTTTGGAGAACAATAACAACAATGCTTATTTATTATCGGCAGGGATGCGCTGCTCGTGATCCAATGGAACATCCGTGCCTTCATGGGGGTCAAGAATTGGCCCTGGATGAAGTTGTTCTTCAAAATCAAGCCTCTGTTGAAGTCCGCAGAGAATGAGAAGGAGATGGCCAACATGAAGGAAGAGTTCACCAAACTGAAAGAGGCTTATGCAAAATCTGAAGCCCGCAGGAAGGAACTTGAGGAAAAGATGGTCTCTCTTCTCCAAGAGAAGAATGACCTGCAGCTCCAAGTCCAGTCTGTATGTTTAAAATCTTTGAGCATCAAAAAGCAATTTAAAATTAATGTGATTATGTAAATCTGATGTATGATGTAAAGCTTTGCTTTTTTAAATATAACAGGAGCAAGATAATCTGTGCGATGCTGAAGAAAGATGTGAGGGGCTGATCAAAAACAAAATCCAAATGGAAGCAAAGGCCAAAGAGCTGACAGAGAGGCTGGAGGATGAGGAAGAGATGAATGCTGAACTGACGGCCAAAAAGAGGAAGCTGGAGGACGAGTGCTCTGAGTTAAAGAAGGACATCGATGACTTAGAGTTAACTCTAGCAAAAGTGGAGAAAGAGAAGCATGCCACCGAGAACAAGGTACTACAAACACTAATTACAACAAAATTAGTCTGTGTCCCACATTTGAACTGTGATGAAGTCCTTGAAGAAAATGTCTCCTGGTTATAGGTAAAGAACCTGGTTGAGGAAATGGCCGCTCTGGATGAGATCATTGCCAAGCTGACCAAGGAAAAGAAAGCCCTACAGGAGGCTCATCAGCAAACACTGGATGACCTGCAGAGTGAAGAGGACAAAGTCAACACTCTGACCAAGGCCAAGGCCAAGCTGGAGCAGCAAGTGGATGATGTAAGAAATAATATCTTATACCATGTAGATGATATATTAAGTATTGACAATTAAACTCACAAATGTTGCAATGATGTCAAATTAAGCTTGAAGGGTCTCTTGAACAAGAGAAGAAAATTCGAATGGACCTTGAGAGAGCAAAGAGAAAGCTGGAGGGAGACTTGAAGCTGACTCTGGAGACTGTTATGGATCTAGAAAATGACAAGCAGCAGTTGGAGGAACGACTGAAAAAGTAAAAGTTTTCACTCTGATTATTCTTTATCACTTGTTTTATGAAACAAACACTAACTAAACACAATTTTGTAGGAAAGACTTTGAAATCATTCAGCTGAATGGCAAAATAGAAGATGACCTGGCCATAATCCTTCAACTGCAGAAGAAGCTCAAAGAGCTGCAGGTAACAAGTATAACAGTGTTAAATAAGTGTGTACAATTTTTCACAATGTTGCTACACTTAAACATGTTGTTGTGACTAAGGCTCGTGTTGAAGAGCTGGAGGAAGAGCTTGAGGCAGAGCGAGCTGCCCGAGCCAGGGTGGAGAAGCAGAGAGCAGACTTGGCCAGAGAGCTGGAGGAGATCAGTGAGAGGCTGGAGGAGGCCGGTGGAGCAACATCTGTCCAGATTGAGATGAACAAGAAGAGGGAGGCTGAGTTCCAGAAACTGCGCAGAGACCTTGAAGAGGCCACTCTGCAGCATGAAGCCACCGCTGCCTCACTCAGGAAGAAACAAGCTGACAGTGTTGCTGACCTGGGAGAGCAGATAGACAACCTGCAGAGAGTCAAGCAGAAACTGGAGAAGGAGAAGAGTGAGCTCAGACTGGAGCTGGATGATGTGGTGTCCAATATGGAACATGTTGTGAAGGCTAAGGTAGAGTACCTTTAAATGCTTAGCACTGTCACATCATAGCAAGAAGGTTCTTTGTTTGAATGGAGTCTATCTGTGTGGAGTTCTTATGCCCCCCCCCATGTCTCAGTGGCTTTTCCAAAGGGACTCTGGTGTTCGCCAACAGTTCATAGACGTGCAGATTGGGTTATTTAGAGACTTTAAATTGACATTCGATGTGAGTTTGTGCATGGATGAAGTTTGTCTTAGTATGTTAGCCCTGTGATTCACTGGTGATCTGTCCAGGACATACCCAGCCTTTAATTCAATGTCACAATAAATTAGCTCCAGTGACCCTTGCAAACCTAACAGGATGAGCAGATTATGCAATGATGGATGGTGTCCATAAAAGACAGTGTTTGTCCCTCATGCATTATTTGTCTCCTTTGTTTTCAGAATAATTTGGAGAAAATGTGCAGGTCCCTGGAAGACCAGATGAATGAATACAGAACAAAGTCAGAAGAAGGACAGCGCACCATCAATGACTTCACCATGCAGAAAACAAAGCTTCAAACTGAGAATGGTATACATTTGACTTAATCGCTGTTTTTCAAGGATGGTATAAAGTATTGATTTTATCCTTGTATCAAAATTAGGTGAACTTACAAGGCTGCTTGAGGAAAAAGATTCACTGGTGTCTCAGCTCACCAGAGGAAAACAATCCTACACTCAGCAAGTTGAAGACCTTAAAAGACAACTGGAGGAAGAAATTAAGGTTGGAAATTATATCTAAGATCTCACTGAGTGCAGACTGAGTGTTGGTATATGCGAAGAATTAATTTATGGTTTATTTCAGGCCAAGAATGCATTAGCCCACGCAGTGCAGTCCTCRCGTCACGACTGTGACCTGCTCAGAGAGCAGTATGAGGAGGAGCAGGAGGCCAAGGCTGAACTGCAGCGRGGCATGTCCAAGGCCAACTCTGAGGTGGCTCAGTGGAGAACTAAGTACGAAACTGATGCCATCCAGAGGACCGAGGAGCTGGAGGAGGCCAAGTGAGTCAAATATATTTCTACTTCCAACAGTTCAGCAAAGTTTAAAAGCAACTAAGCCTGAATGAATTCTGTTGTCCTTCAGAAAAAAGCTGGCTCAGCGTCTGCAGGATGCTGAGGAGGCTGTTGAGGCAGTCAATGCTAAATGTTCCTCTCTGGAGAAGACCAAGCACAGACTGCAGAATGAGATTGAAGATCTCATGGTGGATGTGGAGAGATCTAATGCTGCTGCTGCTGTTCTGGACAAGAAGCAAAGAAACTTTGACAAGGTAGAATTCAAAATTCACACGGTCATTTAAATTTCTGTTGATGAATTTGAAAATAATGACACATAAACATTTTTAGGTCTTAGCAGAATGGAAGCAGAAGTATGAGGAGTCTCAAACAGAGCTGGAGAGCTCTCAGAAGGAAGCCAGGTCTCTGAGCACTGAGCTATTCAAACTGAAGAACTCCTATGAAGAATCTCTTGAACATTTGGAGACCATGAAGAGAGAGAACAAGAATCTGCAGGGTAAGACTTAACACCATCTTACACTTCTATTTGTTCTATTGACTGAACAACTGACAATCTTATGTTTTGTTTTGTAGAGGAAATATCCGACCTCACTGAACAAATTGGTGAGGGTGGAAAGAGTATTCATGAGCTTGAGAAGATTCGCAAACAGTTGGAACAAGAGAAGGCAGAGATACAAACAGCTCTGGAGGAAGCAGAGGTATGTTGAGCCTTTTTGGACTATTAAAGATCTTTATGTGTCCACAACAAGTAACATCTGCGAAATGAATTGTAACATCTTGTTTGTTTTTCTAGGCCACATTGGAGCATGAGGAGGGTAAGATACTCAGAGCCCAGCTTGAGTTCAATCAGGTGAAAGCTGATATTGAGCGCAAGCTGGGGGAGAAAGACGAAGAGTTGGAGCAGGCAAAGAGAAACCAACAGAGAATTGTGGACACCCTGCAGAGCTCTCTTGAGGCAGAGACTCGCAGCAGGAATGAGGCCATGCGTCTGAAGAAGAAGATGGAGGGAGACCTTAATGAGATGGAGATCCAGCTCAGCCAGGCCAACAGGCAGGCAGCTGAGGCCCAGAAGCAACTCAAGGCTGTGCATTCACATCTTAAGGTAAATATGTGAAGACAAAAAGTACACTATTGATTCATTTGATTGTATTTTCACTTTAATTAAATTGCTTTACACTTAAATGTTATGCATTCCAGGATGCTCAGCTCCAGCTTGATGACTCTCTGAGAATCACTGAAGATATGAAGGAAAACATTGCGATTGTAGAGAGACGCAATAACCTGCTTCAGGCTGAAGTGGAAGAGCTGAGAGCTGCTCTGGAGCAAACTG